CACAACACACACACACACACACACACACACACACACACATTATATATTTATATATATATAGATTGATTTATATAGTAATATTTATTTTGCAGTACACGTGTATACATCTTTTCTTGTTTCGTATGTATATATTTGTTGTTATCTATCGTGAAATAATATGTTGACAGATTTGGGACATATGATATGTCGTTTTTCACCCTCATAAATAGTTAAATTAAAGATTGATTCCTATTGTATCTACTTGGCAGTGGACACCACGCTTCTGATGAGGCGTGCGTCTACGTCCATCATTAATTGCACCAAATGCAGCGTATTCGACTTAGATTCAGGTATGCGAGTGTTGTTTCGTTCGTAGCCATATGTCTCTTATCTTATTAAATGTATGTAATATTGAGCAAGAATGAATTTGCATGTTTTAACAGCCCTGGCTGTTTGATGTGTCTCTAATTGTGAACTAAGGCATGGACTGTTTGACATGTAGTATTGATCTCGCACTAAGTTATCCAATGTATTTTAGTTACAAATTTAGCTGTATGCTCAACCTATGTCTATGCCTGCTATTAGCACTTACATTGTTTCTGATCTCTCCCATACAGAGAATGGCAGCAAAGGGGATCTACATAGTAAAACCGCTTCAACAACGACACCACCACCTGTGAGGCGTCCGTCGAGAGTGAACCAGATGTGCCACGTTCATTCGCATCCGATACTTCGTACGTAAACATAGTACCTGTGCGTATCTAATCAGTCTTTGATAGTTTATTGGGTATTGTTTTGTAAATTTGTTAGAAGTTTGGAGAGATCATATAGTCTGTATCCAACCGAAGTCATGTCCATTACAGTTTAAACTTTCATATTTACGTATCTACAATACACAAAAAGCAAGGCATATACCATCACATGACAGAGCTGTGTTCCGTGTTGTATGTGCATGTATTATAAGACGGGTATTAGACGCATTCAATAGTCGATTTCAACATACGCTTCCCAACTCCTAGTGTGGTATCAATTTCGACCACTTCCATGCTTCAGTGTTTTCGGACTTTTTAAATGCAGGCTTCACATCCACACACTCAGGTGCCACGTTGCAAAAGGCCAGCTTATATTTCATCGTTAACGTCCCGTGATATGAGATTTCACTTTTGGTTGTGGTTGTCTGCAATACCAGATTGAATATCTGGCGTAAGCAGATATACTACGTACGTATGTGCGGTGCATTAAAAGTAGCGACAATGTCTCATAACTGTGCAAGACTATGTGTGCACAATTGTATAATGTGGTCCCGTACACCCTTATGTTGAGTATCGAGCGCCACTGCAAATTCGGATACAGAGGCTGAACAATACTTCTCTGTTTGGCCAGGACGAATCGTTTCCTGATTACAAAGATCGAGCCTTATCTGCGAGTATGCACGTTTACGTAGCACATTAAATTGATCGTGAATAGTATATCACTTCGTATCTATACCCACGCCTATCTTGGTTAATCTTATCTCAATCCTTTTTCATTCCATCACAGATGATACCTCTGCGAATGTCCGTCGAATGCGGTCGATAGAAGGCTTTAAGAAGGAGAAGGTGAACTACATCACCTCCGGCAGTATCGCTCAGAATGTATCTGTCAGAATCAGAGAACTCAATCGGATTTCGAGTCATAAACTACCCGAGAGTATGTAGAAGTTTGTCCTTGTCGAAATTAAGCTCAAGTTTATATACTACCAATGGCACTCATTTGGACGTTGACAAGAGATTTGCAGCTTCATGCAACCTAAACTCTCTCATATATTGCTCTGAAAACTTAATACGATACTAGATGTTCGTTAATGGCTATTTGTAGGATTCGAACCAAGCTGCTACGGCAGCTGTTCGTACAAAGCAATTTCGATACAGGTGTAAATAATCAGATCCGTGTAATTATTTAATTTTGAATATCAGAAGGAACGTTTCCGATGATATTACGCTCCGATCACCTCGCCACCTCCTCTAAATACTATCACATGGTACACGCGCTTCAATCCTTGTTATTCAAATATATATCTTCAAAATAATCAATCAGCACACACAGCTACCTCAGTTCAAGCGCCTGTTTTAAAAAGACTATACCTTACTGCTCGACCTTCTGGCATGCATATATACCCTCGGCTTTATAGACCCATATGCCTAATCACAGACCGTAGATAGCAAGCATAGCTAACCCAATGCAGGGACATGTTCATTTTCCAACTAAGAGTTAGATATGATGACGCACTGAGTCTTTGTATGCCGGGTTTCAGCAGTATACACACCTATTTTGGGCTCTTTATTCAATCATATGCTTAAGCACAGGCAAGAGTCAGCATGCACAGCCACCCCAATTCAATCGCATGTCCATGATTCGTCTAGTGTGTTTTCTGATACCGCGTCGAGCTTCACTGGTCTCGACTTCATCAAAATACATCCCCCCCTCCAATTGTTGTGTTTGTCTATGTCTTTGCTCACAGGCAATCCCAGTTTACACATACAATCCCAGTACAAGCGCGGGTTTCTGATACCGTAGGAGTCGTATTTGATGGAGTGCTGATTTTAACTTTGGACTTCCTTGATGATATAGACCCTACTTCCGAATTGTATATTTATGTCTACGTCGTAATACACAGGCAATGGGCAGCATGCACAGCTACCTCAGCCCAAGCGCATGTCTATGATGCGTCAGGGCTCATCGCTTCTGCACAACAAACGATGTGTCAGTGATGGCAGCGGCAATAGCGCACTCATAGTCCCCAAGGTCGGGCAAAGGGGCCATCCTCTGGGATGTTCCGACAGGTACTATGCACACACAAATACACACACACACATATATATA